TTGGCCTGCTGTGTTCATCCAGCTCTGCACCTTGTTGTCTTACATTGGGGTATGCCTTGATAAAAGGTTATAATCATCGAGTGGAGAATGATTCCCGACTGCACAGAATGAGTTGTTCCCTTTGTCAGAAAGAAAGTTACGCTCTGACAGCAGAGGAAAAAAATTAAGAGTTGCATAACTTGGAACTTTGAGAAGATATTAGCCAGGTACCATGTGACTAGGAAGTATATGCTGGATAGTGATGGGAAATCAACTCTAAAGGAACAATCCTGATCTGAAGCCAAGTTTGATGAAATACAATGTGTTACTAACATCAAAAGTGGCTTAGCAGTGCATTTCAAGGAATTGAGTTCTAGTTTATCAAGGTCTGATAAGATTGTTCCCTCTCTCTTGACGATTAGGATTTTGTGGTGGTATCAGAGCTGTCTTGAGAACAGGGATTAGCAATAATAAGAAAAGTCCTTTTATTGTTTAAAACAGAATAAAAAATGTATGAGCTGCATTGTTGTTACTCAAATGTTAATAATTATGAAATACACGATGTGGAGGTGCTGGTGTTGGACTGGGGTGGACAAGGTCAGAAGTCAGACAACACCAGGTTATAATCCAACAGGATTATTTGAAATCACAAGCTATCGGAGCACAGCCCCTTCCTTAAGTGCAGTGAGAGAGAAGAGCACACCGGCACAGAGTTTATAGGCAGAGATATCAAAAGATCATACAACTAGTGTGAGTGCAGTGTCGAATAATAAGTCTCTGTAGGTGCTGAAAAGTGTTAGACAGAGTAAAGTGTCAACAGCTGAATAACTAGTGAAGGAATGATCTATAATCGGATTAAGTGAGGCAGAGAGATAATTACAAAAAATTTAAAATAACGTGGTACTGGAGACAAACTAAATGACTGGAATAACATGACAGGTATAAGAGTCGCATGCCGAGGGTCTAACCAAAGTAATAAGTAATTCAAAACTGTACAAGCTAATTAAGATAGAGAGATCATAACAACTTATCAAGGTGATGGTGTCAAAACAGGAGAGTACGGAAGATTTTACAGATAGAGAAGTGTAGTGGATTACATGTAGCGTGACATGAACCCACGATCACGGTTGAGATCGTCTTCATGTTTATGGAACTTAGCTATCAGTCTGTGCTCGGTGATTCTGCATTGTTGTGTATCTTGAAGTCTGCCTTGAAGGATGCTTACCCGAAGATCAGACGCTGAATGTCCTTGACTACTGAAGTGTTCCCCAAATGGCAGGGAACATTCCTGTCTGGTGATTGGTGCATGGTGTCCATTGTTCCCTTGCCGTAGCGTCTGCATGGTTTTGCCAATATCCCACGCCTCGGGGCATCCTTGCCTGCAGTGTATGAGATAGACAATGTTGGCCGAATCACATGAGTATTTGCCATGCACGTCGTGGGTGGTGTTTCCATGTTGATGATCTGACATGTCTTGCAGATGTTGCCATGGCAGGATTGTGTGGTGTTGTGGTCGATGTTGTCCTGAAGGCTGGGTAGTTTGCTGCGAACAATGGTCTGCTTAAGGTTTGCCGGTTGTTTGAAGGCGAGAAGTGGAGGCGTAAGGATGATCTTGGCAAGGTGCTCATTGTCATCGATGTGTTGAAGGCTGCAAAGAACACGGCATAGTCTCACCGCTCTGGGGAAGTACTGGATGATGAAGAAGGGTACTGTGTCATTCATTTCCTGCGTCTGGCTTGTGAGGAGGTCATTACGGTTTTTTTGCTGGGGCACATTGGAACTGGCGATCGATGAGATGAGCATCGTATCCCACTCTTATGATGGTGTCCTTCAAAACCTTTAAGGTGTCCATCGAGTTTCCCCTCATCTGAGCAGATCCTGTGTATGCACAGGGCTCGTCCATAGGGGATGTCTTCTTTAATATCTTTACAGTGGAAGCTGGAGAAGTGCAGCATCGTGAGGTTATCTGCGGGCTTGCGGTAGAATGAGGTATTGAGGTGTCTGTCCCTGATGAAGATGTGTGTGTCCAAGAATGAGCTTGATTCTGAAGAGTAGTCCATGGTAAGTCTGATGGTGGGATGAAACTTGTTGATATCGCTATGTAGTTGTTTCAGTGATTCCTTGCCATGAGTCCAATTGAAGAAAATGTTGTCACTGTATCTGGTGTAATGCATTGGTTGGAAGTCCTGTGCAGCAAATAAGTCTTGCTCGAACTTGTGCATGAAAATGTTGGCATATTGGTCCCCATGGCTGTTCTGTGTGTCTGGATGAAGAACTGGTTGTCGAAGGTGAAGATGTTGTGTCGAGGATGAAGTGGATGAATTGTAGGATGGTGTCTGGAAATTGGCAGTTGTTGGTATTGAATACTGAGGCTGTTGCAGCAATCCTGTCGTCATGGGGTATGATGGTGTAGAGTGCTGAAACGTCCATTATGACGAGGTTTCTTGTGCAGAAATAGTCAGGGCTAAACAGTAACTGTAGCTATATTCCTCTTGCCCCAAGACATATTTACTGATACCAGTACATCTGTTAACTTTGAAAAGGTGTAATGCTCTTTTAAAAGCTCATTCCTTTTTCATGTGTAAGGGTAGAAAAGTAGAACTCCACATTTTACACAAGAGTAGAGCATACAGCTGCTGAGTCTGCTCCATCTTTCAATATGATTGTAGCTGATCTTTGTCTTCTACTCCATTTTCCCCCCGTTCCCAAAAATCCTTTGATTTCCTGAGAGACCTTAAATCTATTCCATCCAATTAAGTACTTTTGAAGTGAAAATTCTTTTGTAATCCAGGGAAATACAGCAGGCAATTTGCACACATTAAGGTCTCTCAAAGAGCACGGACCAGATAATCTCTCTTACAGATATTCATTGAGGGTTCAGCATTGACTAAGACACTGGGAATAACTTTCCTGCTCCTCTTTTTAGTTCTGTCAGTTCATTCTGCAGAGCAGCTAGGAAGAACTTTGGTTTAAAGTCTTATCTGAAAGATAGCACTCCTTCACATTGCTCATTAATGTCAACCTGTTCAAGGCCTGGAGTGGACCTTGAACCTCTCTGTTTCTGACACAGACAAAAATATAACTACTGAGCTAAGTTGGCAATGCAATTCCAAAATTATGACAGTGTCTGTACTTAAATTAATTTAATGGATCTAAAGAGCTTTGGGACTTCCTGACCATGTGAAAGAAACTCAATAAATGCAAGTCCTGTGCTGTAGGCACAGTTACAACAGGCATCTGCTGGTTTGCGGAACCGCCCAGCCTCTGTGGCATAATCAAAGAAAAATCATAATTAATTCATCTAAAAAGATTATAGATGAGACAGTCCAACATAACAGCTTAAATGGAAACCGGTAACACCAAGAATAGATCCACTGTACATATGTAATTAGCTTGTGGTCTCATAGTTTGGCCACTAAGTACAGAAAAAAGACTGTACTGAAGTATTTTGAAGTACATTTTGTTCACTGATCTGTTACAAAAGTAGGAGGAGGAAGAAGCACTGAGTATGAAAAGTTAGGGATGTGTTGCTTTTTTCAGGAATTTAGTAGCAACAGCACAGTAGTTTAAAAGTCTTGGGTCAGGGATGTTCCATTGTTTACGCAGCAATATCACATAGGCCGTTTTAATACAGCTTACATCCGATGATCTGCACTTGATCATAGCAGAGATCAATAATCATAAGTACGTCAGAATTGAGGGCAGTTCCATAGATGTTGAAATCTCACATTTCAGGCTGTCAGTTTCTGTAACTGCAACTGTTACTACAGATATTTCCTAAACTGGACCCACTTCAGAAATGCTGTTTTTATCTTTTCTTCATACACTGAACAATCAACAGAGGCACAAAACATATTTACAATTCGTACAGAAAAAATCTGGGAAAATTCAGGTCTGATAAAAGGGCATTGACCCTGTGTTTCTCACCACAGATGCTGCATGACCTGGTGAGTTTTACAGCCCTTTTTTTTGTTCTTATTTCAGATTTCCAACATCTGCAATGTTTCACGTTTGTATTAATGTCACAGACTGAGTAAGCTGATCATTCAAACTATTAACCAGTGTAGCTGTAGAATTTCCTGAAACCCCTCTAATTGCCATGCTACTTCTAGTAATTAAGTTAAATCTGCAGAGTTTCTTTCTTTAGTGCAACAAACCTTACTTTCACCATCTGGTCATAATAATTAGAGGGAATTTTCTTCAATCTCTCATGTACACTGTGTAAAGGAAAAGGTCTCTTCCAACTATATGGTAAATGATAATTACAGCCAGTGTGACTCAGTATGATTTTGTTTTGCAAGTTACAGTTGCAAGGAGAGAAACTGGTGTAGCATTGAAAGATTGTATCAGGAGAGTTGTTGTACACTGTATAGTAGATGGAGAAGATCCTTGAGCTCTCTGCCGAACTTCAATTTTTCTTGATGTAAGGTTTTGGTATCCAGAAGGATTGCTGAGTAATAAGGTACATACATCACGAAAGAGAATGCTTTGGGGGAAATTGTCTTCAGTTTGCATCTGTTCTTGCCATGAAGCTGATGGGTTGATGGAGGAGAGAGATATCATAGGATTTGATGGGAATGAGCCAACACTGTAAAAGTATAAAAATAATTTGGCAACTCTAACTGAGTAGCATTTGGCCTTCTTTTGGTGACTGAAGTGATTGGTATTGCTGACCGCTTACTGACTTCTAACCTGGCAAAGCCCAGCCTGCTACATGAAATATTTCAGCAAACTGCGTCACATCCAAAGCAGTTGAAAAGAATACTTTCTTTGTGTAAGTAAGGCTCCCCACCTTCTGGTGTTTCTGAGCCTGAATCAACAGCAATAGGGTCTGCAAAACACAAAAAAACTTGCATTTCACCTTCCCTGACCTCGGGACATGGCAAAGTATTTTACAGCCAATGAATTACTTTTAACGTACAGTCACTGATGTAAAGTAGGAAACACAGCAGTTGATTTCCACACAGCAAGGTCCCATAAGCAGCCTTAAGATAGTGGCCATAAAATCATATTCCTCAAGCTACCCCTAAAAAAAAAAGTATCAGCTCGGATACCATGGAGAATGTCCCTGTTCTTCAAAATGGTGCATTAGGATTTCTTATGTCCACCTTTCAGTGCATATTTGGGCTTGTATTTAAAGTCTATTCTGAAATACAGCACCTCAGGTGCTCATTTGTTTGGATGAAGACTAAAAGATTAAAGACTAAGTAAAATTCGAAAAGAAGAATAGTTCCTATTCCACAGAAAAATGCGCTGCTCCATGGATAGTTTTACTCTTTTTATTTGTGGAATTTCAATATACCAACCTGTTTGTCAGCTTTGCATAGAATTCGTGAAATGTCGAATCACTACCAAATATAGCCCTTTCACATTTACAGAGCGTGATTCCATTCTTCACACAGCCAAAGGTTACCAAGGCATTGTCATAGTTTCAAAGTTAATGTTTTACTTTGGATTATGATTTGTCCTATTTGCATCAAATTATTGAAATATGAACCGAAATTGATGATTTTTCACATTGGTTGTTCTAATCCCTAGGTAGTTGAAACCTGGTGGAATTTGGAAATCCTTGACAAGTTAATATTACAGTTAGGTTTTCAGTGTTTTGATTACTATAAGAACAGGTTACTGCTTCTCAATAAGTACTGAGGGGGGGCAACCCAACTTGCTCAAATGCTTTACTGTCTCTTTAAGTTCCTTTTGTATAATGGCAAAGAATTGTGCTTACCTATCATCGATACAGATGGCTGAGATTCCCTACCTCTATCCCCTTGTTCAAAGCAATCCTAGAAAGGTCCAGGTTCAGCATTAACCTCACTGACCTGGTATAACATCAGATTTTTCTGATGTCATTATTAGCCAAGGACAATCTGTTTCAACTTTTAGGGAGCGATGAGCATGAGCATACACACTAGACTTCCAATTCATGCACCATGATTCACTCAATAACTCAGCACTCATAACTGTATTGTCTGCATCTCCTTTTTCACTACAATAATGCAATATGTACAGACCTCCTGTAATTGCTTCATAGCATCAGCTTCATCAGGCACTTTTAGCCGTGTAGTATTTATTGTAAGACAAATAACTATTGTTGAATGATTCATTGCACAGTTTGCAGACACTCTTTGTCTTCTGACCAATTCCACGCACACGCATTGTTTTAGCTGTCAGCCCTCAGGAATTCAGTGCTGTAGTGCAAACTTCAGAAGCTTCAAAAGACCTTTTCATGTTAACCCTAAAGCAGTTTGAGGCTAAATCCACTTGAAGTCTACAAGAGTCATAGCACCACTTAAGGAACGTGTCCCCTAGCTCCCATTGAAACACAGAGACTCCTCCCCAACAAACACTGTTGTTGTAACATTGTGTTTGAACTCACTACAGCGGTTACAAGTCCGAAAGAAGCCTGCTGCCAGCTTACGTTCTACAGTGGAAAAGCAGTCTATCCAAAACAGCATTGTCATTTTAAAATAGGCAGATAGGTGAGAAAAATCTCTGTATAAGAAAGCAAATGAAGTGTAAAGTCATGTTCAAAATGCAATCAAGTGATGGAAGTGCCTGATGGCAAATAAATGTAAATAGGAGGAATTGTGAATGTCTTGTGCTCTTCAGTTATTCCTGTCAGAATTGCAAGTGGTTCAGGCAAACTTACTCGCGTTTCTGCCAATGCTGAGCCTCCAAGCCTGGATGGTAATGTTCTCTTATCACAGCTACAGCACTATTTCAGATCAGAATAACCCAAGGACCAGTCAAAATGTCTTCTTTTAGCATCAGCATTTTAAAAATGCAAGAATTGGAGCTGCAAGCAATCATGAGTAATGCAGGACACTGTTGAACTACCAGCTCCTCTTCCTGGCCAGATTTGTGAGTGTTTGGGACAAGAACTGTAAATTTGTTTCAAAAAAAATATTTTATTTCCCTGGTGCATTAAATCACTGCAGCAAAGTCCTATCTTACATGTCACATGACCTTATGAGTTTACTCACTACTTCCTGTAACAATGACCATAGCTTTATTAAAATAAGCCTGTGAACTGGAGTCCTTCAGTAAGAATTTTTGGTAAGACTGTTTTTGACTAATAGTTCATTTTAAAGATAGAACATATTTCAAACCTTTGGATGGCAACCTAACATCTGAGTCTTTGCTGAGTTTAGCCTGCCCTGACTCAATGGAGCTGGAGCTAATTCCATCATTTCAAACCCTCCAACAGCTGAGATCAGCTAAAAAAGCTCCAATCATCCAGCCCCAGCATTTCACTGGGCATTACCTTTATCCAGTAGTAACAGGCAGCTGTGTGAAAATGTCAATTCTCCTCCTCATCCTGTCAAAATACTGAGATCTTTGTTTGTACTAATTCTGGTTCCAGTGCCCTAGTAAAGGATTCCAAATAATACTGAATGTCAATGTTGAAATTTAGTCTTCACAGCATATATTCCTGAATGTTACAATTTGGCCTTTCCTCGTAATATCCAAGAACTTTAACTATTGAGAAGGCTGTCCAATGTTGTAAGGAATATACAAGTGAAAGGAAAGGTATTCTGTACTTAAAGTACATTCTGAGTAAAATGTTCTGTTTAAAAAGAAATTGACCTATCAAATGGTTTGAAATTTGCTTGGATTCATACCTCTGTCCGTTTTGGTGGCTACTGAGATATAGAGACACAAGTCTATCTCTTGGAGATGCAATGCTTCTTGCTGGATCCTCTTTCTTGGATACAATCCAGATTTGCAACTGAGTGGTTTTGGTAGACTGAATATGAATGCTCCCACTCCATAGCCAGTGCAAATACTTTGAAGACATTTGTTTCTGAGTCCATGCACTGCTGTGGTCAATAGATTAATAAACGTTTGACAAAGATACCCTCATCCAAAGATTGAATCATAATTATCCCATTTATAGCCTCAGAATAGAATGTCTGCAGCAAGTAGCAATGAAATGAAGACCAACCTGAGCAGTGATAAATGCTGATGTATCATGCTGCTATAAAGATGTCCCATCCAGATTGTCAGAGGAATCTCAATGACAAGGGAAATCTTGCAATGTTTCTCAAGCCTATGTTAAGACTATTCTGCACAGGATTCCAGCTGTCTGAAAGTTGAAGTTTACAACACAAAGGATTAAAATTACACATTCGCAAATGACAAGTTTCGCTCCAATATGTTTAAGTTTACAATTGACAGGAACAAGAAAGCCCTGGTGTGCCACCAAAATCTTGGTACTTTTTATGGAAGAGAGGTAAAGGAGAGAAAGATATTTTCTGAAAAATGTTAGCAGTAGAATACTTTTCAAACTGGCGATGTCTCATGCTCCGCAGTTCTGCAACAGCAGGTCAAACTTCCTATATTCCCCAACAGTGTAGAATCTGAAGCCAAATATCTAAAGAACAAGAATGAGAAGCCCAACCTTTTACAGGCAACAGAAAAGAGAAACTTTCATCCTGGCAAGTTAAGTTCTTTTTGTGAATTTAGCAGTGCCTTTCTAGACCTGTGCCACCTAGATATTTGTCTGCTTATTGTTAAAGAAACGATCAAAGTTTTTATTTGATACAAAGTAGAAGATGGACCTTTCTCTATGATTGGTGGTAATAACCACCCAGCCTCGGGAGATGGAAGAGGTATAATCATACAGCAAGTCACCAGCTGTTAATGGTCAGGGCATCCATGCCTAAAGAAAATTATTTACTTTTGCAGTATTCTGTATGCTATTCATTCATCTCGTTGAGGCCATGGGGCAGGTTCTGCATCCTTGGTATTATGAGGGAAACATGGTAAAGCTAATACTCTCTCTTGTTGTTTCCAAAAGTTGTAGTTATTGCCTCACCTCTGTTGCTGACAATGCTGTTGCGTTGATAGGATAACTGACATGGGACTGGTTTACTGCTAACCTAAGCCTCTTCTGTCCAAGAACTGTATTGTAGCGCATGACTTTTGCCACTTCTGAATTATT